CAGGAATGACTGGCATTTCACATGGAAATGAAAAAGCTGTTTATTGTCAGCAGGTTCCTTTCTTTGGCCCTAAGACAGAATCAAGTCCATGGCAAGGAGATTAGAAAGTTACCATGCCAAACCACCAGAGCTCAAAAAACCTACCAGAAGACACATACACCAAGATAAACTGTTCATTGTTTTCAACAGTGATGTCTCTTGAATATAAAACTGGACCATAAATTTTACTAGATCAGGCACATGCTGGTTTCATTGAGAAAATATAAAATTAAAAATTAAAAATAAATAAAAACACAAACAAACCAAAAAAGACCAAGTTGCAAGAGCTAGAATTGCTTTCCTTGAGATTAAGTTTTTGGTAGCACATGGCATGAACCTGAAGTGGTCTCCAGAAAGGTGAGTGAGCAGACAATTCTGTCACAAATCCTAGTATATAATAATTTTGGATAGTGTGCTACAGGCCTAAGACTTCAGTCCCTTTTGCTTTGGTAGGTAGGCTGTTCCCTGGTGTTTGCAGACTTGTGGCAACTCTAATCGACATTTGGAAGCAGCAGCCCCTTAAATGCAGCAACTTCCAGAAGCTGAGAAGAACCTAAGTGCAGCTTGTTCCTGACACTCATTAACTGCTCAGTTTATCATCTGTGCTGAAAGCTCAAGGAGGGAAGAGGTTAAAAGACATTTAAGAAATGTCTTGGCAAAACTCCATGATGCCAACGTGGCAGCGTTTGTTTCTCTGGTTTTGCCTGTTTGACACATTTTAAGCTCCACTACAATCATAAAAATTCGATATTAAACTGGCAAAATACTGTGCTGTACTGAATTGCTTGGTGCTAGTCGAGGTTTTCTTAATTTATAAATTCATGGTAGCAAACTAAGATGTGCTTTAAACATATCAGCCTAGTACTGTTTATTTATTTCTTTAGTTTTGTTTATTTACCAGTAACTTTTTATACAGTTAATCATGCCATCTTTTTATACAGTTAATCGTGCCATCTCATACTTTCTGGAGAAAGCCAGTTGATGTGAAGTATTTGTCTACATAGAGACAGTTAAGCAAACTGTCCAAGCGAAAAATCTGCCATTCAGATGTACTCAGGAAGTAACTTGCTGAACAAAACTAAATAAAGGTTAATTTTTATCTTTTCTGTTTTGAAACTGGAAATCATTCTGCATAATTGCCACATCTAACACAGGATAAACAAAGCAAACAGATCCTTTCTCCAGCTGCATTAAATCCAATTCCATTATACCAGGCATTTTGTACTCACAGGAACGTGATTAGTTATTTTTTTTTCCTCTCAGGCAGTTTATACTGAAGCATTTTGTTCAGTTTGTTAGCACAGTCTCTGATGGTCTTTTATATAGCTTTCACCATCCAGTTTTAGCTTTGAAGTTCCAGCTCCCGGCCTACTTGGGAAGTTGTCATGCTATTGCATGGCCTTTTTCTCCACAAACTGCTGTTTATAGCCTGCCTGTCACACAGCCAGCCGCCTGCTTTCCTATCACCTTGTGAGCCTGAACATTACTGTTTTTTTCTTCAGCAGAGAATTACAGTTAGAGCTCTCCTCCATCTCCAAGTTAATGTGGGTGATAGGGTTTGACCCAGTGAACTCATTGCAAGACGTTGTGAATGTAAATTAATGCAAAATATGATCTGAAAATCCTTATGATAACACATGTAACATCATACAAATATTCAACAGCCTAGGAGAAGCCAGAAGGTATATTAAAGAAAAAAACCAACATCATAAAAAACCTCAAACAAAACCAACCAAACTATCCTTTCCTCATCTCCTTCTTAATAAAACTAAACACACACATCTGGAAGAGCTAAGATTAAGCAAATAGCAAATACAGTCGACATTACATGAGTCATGCCATTTACTTTTCAGCTTCTTTTTTGTCTTCCCATATGCTCTGAACTTGTACTAAGTTTCTAGAAAACTTGTTTGGTTTCCTAATCTAATGGTCCACATAAGAAAGTTTAACGATTGATTAAAACCAGACTTCTCTTAAAAAGGTACAGCTCCTGTTTTAAGCATTTGCACTTGTCATTCAAGTTCAATATGCAATAGCATCCAATATTGTGATCTTATTTTTGGACATCTTTGCAGACTGCCCCTTTAACAGCGGCAAAACTGCAGAACTAAGTACAGACATTACAAACTTCATTAAGAAGCTTGCGGTACTTATTCCATGCTGACTGGCTGAGATCTGTTATTCTTCATGCATTTTCCCTACTGACATTACTTTTACTTGTTTTATTGCCATGACAGTAAATTCAGAGGATGCTCGGTCAGTAGATCTGGGACTACATTCTGAAAACGAGGACAGAGGTTTTTATACAGAAAACTTTCATTCTGCTTCCTGGGTTTTCAGAGGAGATGATGTCTCTCCGGATAACAGTCCTAGATGCCTCAGCAAAAGGCCTAGACCAGTTGCAAGTAAGTTGGCTGAAGCAACAGGTAATAAATGTCATAAAACAGTATTTATTTTGGGCACTCTGAGAATTCCAGGGGATCAACATTTTGCAGAAGACACTGGATGCTGAAGACAGGAAAAAGAGGAATCTAAGAAGCTAAAAGGTTGTTAAAAAATGTAAATAAGTAATTCTAATTTAGCAGCTGTCTTACAAAATATTATAATTGCTTGAAAAAATTGATACTGCAAAAACATCATAATTAAACCTCATCTCTAGCTGCATGATAAGGGTAGAAGCAGTGTAATTTTATAGCTTCTTCAAGCATGGCAAAATCACACAGAGCTATTTATGGACATAAAGTATTATAATGGTCATAAAAACTGTTCTCCGTCAAACTTTCAAACATAGTAGATCCAGAAAGAAAAGAATAAAGTTTCCTATGGGTATGAAGCATTGTTCTATTTGTAGTTTAAACCCTGTCATGCAAACACATATAGTGAATAACTTTTGCAGGGGGATTGGCGGTTTTACTTCACTTTTCAGATGTTAAAATGTTTTCAAATGACAAACTGAAACACCCCTCTATCTTTCCAGGAGATAGTTCTTTGCTGGAGCTCATAAATCATTCACAATATGAGAGAAAACAAACTTCCTCTATAAATTTCCAGATACTAAAATTCTCCCTTAAAATATATGAGAATATTCTGGAGAGCCATTTTCATTCCCTCTTCTCCCAAGGGAGAACTCAGAAGTTCAGCAAGATAGTTATAGTAGGTATTGAAGTATCTATGCTCTTTTAGACAGGTAACGTCAATTGGCCTGCTAGTAAACTGACCTTTAAAGCAATTTCTAACTTCAAAATTTTGCACAATTTGAAGACAAACAGCTGTCATAAGTTATTATTAAATTGGTCTCCATTAAACAAACATGTAAGACAGTGAAACAATCAAAAGCAGACACTCTGAAAATTCAAATTTACACTGAAGTCCTTCATGAGGATAAGATTTACTAACAAGCCAGAACATTTGAGACACAATAATACTACTAGACCCTGAGAAAAAGTTGGAAGCAGGCAATTAGACCCTGATCTTCACAGAATCCCAGAACGGTCAGGGTTGGAAGGGACCTCTGGAGATCATCTAGTCCAACCCCCCTGCCAGAGCAGGGTCACCTACAGCAGATCGCGCAGGGCGGCGTACAGGCGGGTTTTGAATGTCTCCAGTGTGGGAGACTCCACAACCTCTCTGGGCAGCCTGTTCCAGTGCTCCACTACCCTCAAAGTAAAGAAGTTCCTCCTCATGTTTAGATGGAATTTCCTATGTTCAAGTTCATGGCTGTTACCTCTTGTCCTATCACTGGGGACCACTGAAAAAAAGACTGTTCCCATCCCCATGGCACCCTCCCTTTAAGTATTTGTAAGTATTGATAAGATCCCCCCGCAGTCTTCTTTTCTCTAGACAAAAAGGACCCAAGTCCCTCAGCCTTTCCTCATGAGAAAGATGTTCCAGTCCCTTCCTTTTTACTGAGGATGATCCTTTTACATATTAAATGCTGCTGACTTGAAAAACACATCACATGGGTACAGCCACTGGTGGCAGGAGATGTCAGTGTGGTGGAGGGTTGGACTGGAGGACTGGGAGGCAGTGCGATCAGGGAGTGGACAGGGAAGGGTGGACGAAAGGAAAAGAAACAATTGGTATCCAAAAGATAGAAACCTTCTGAAACATAAAAAGAATGAAACTGCAAGAAACAGATTTAAACTCATTTGAGAATTTAGAGTGTATTTTGTTTTTGCAGCTTAGATGTCTGGCACAGAGAGCAGGAGTGCTTTTCTCTCCTAGAACACTGTCGGTAGAGTGGAACATCTGAACTCTTCTCCACCTCTTCATTGCAAAGTCTGGGCACTCAACTTAAACTGCTGACCAAAGTACATTTCATTGATGCTGTCTGTCTTTGCCCTAATGTGAATGGCATTTGATCAGTCATGGAGTGAGGGGGGTACGCACTGGCAGAGGGGCAGCACCAAACAGCTAGGAGTGATAGTGAAAGCATCCCAGCCATTTGCAGAAGCAGTAACTGTCAGTGCCTACAGAGAGGAAGTATTTTAAACAGGCTGCTGCTTGTCAAATTGAACTTGACTTGTAGGGAACAAGGGATGTCTTTCTTCCTGCTTTGCAGTTCGTGAAAGAACGGTGAAGATCGCTAAAGGAACCGGCAATTACCCTTGGGGTTTCAGGATCCAGTTCTCAAAGCCTATCCTTGTGACTGAAGTTGACACAAGTAAGTTGTATTTTCTTTAAAAATATGCATTAAATAGTATGGACATGGAAAAATATTTTCCAAAAACATTTTTTTCACAGTAGATTATGAATGTTTAGTTATAAATGAGAAGAGGAAAACTGTGTCCAAGAAATTGTAACTGGGATTTAGGTAACTGTGTATTGGTCCCCATGAAGGAAGCATATTTATCACTTCTCTAATTTACCTCCATTCCTGGCTGGCATGTGTCCAAGCACTATTTTATTAGGAGTGCATGCGCTTTGCAGCAGTTAACAAATAAACAAAAGATTGATATATTAACAAAACTGATTCAGTCCCTCCTTCACTGAACGTTTGTTGACTTAGTATGTCATTTCCTCCTAAAGACAAAACCCACAAAATGCTATAGCCAAATTCTATTAACCAGCAAAAGAAACAACAGCACAGAGAACAGTCATTTCATCTTAAATCTGAAGCTCACAAGAATAATAGATGTTTTCTCTACTGTCTTTACTGAACATCATACCAGATCTTTGTTTGCACTTTAGGTCAAAACCTTCAGATACTGAAATGCCTGTTTGCATCTTAAAGCATTTAAGTCCTAATGGCATTTATAATGAAATTTCTCCACTGTCAGTGACCATCTAGTGTTGATCCAGCACCTAAATCCTGGAGTTTCATTTACAGACAACTAACAGGTTGCTCAGAAAAACTTGTTCCGCCTCCAAGTTGACGTCATGAAGGCCCCAAAGCATAATCCTTGACTGGTTGGACAGATATGTGTTTTACTAGAAAAGCTCAATTACATAGGCATGCCTGATATCCTAACTCTAAATAAAATGAGGTTTTTTTATTCCAGACAGTGCAGCTGAAGAAGCAGGGCTTCAGGTCGGGGATATTCTGATAGCCGTCAATGGAACTGATGTCACCAGCATGCCACATTCAGAAGCTGCCAATCTGGCAAGGAAAGGTAAGATTGAGATCACAATAAATTACATGGATAGGTTAGGATTGCTGTACAAGGCTCCAAATACATCTACACAAGTCGGATGATGGATGCAACAAAAATCTTAATTAACAGTTTAATGCATTACTATCTAATACAGTAGTATTGCCTTTTTATCTAGACCTTGCTAGGAACACAGAAGAAAACAAACATACAAAATATTCCCCAAGGAGCAGGTGTGACAGTAATGCTTTTGGCTCTCCTGCCTTAAAGAAAGTGACTGAGAAATTCCTGAAAGTGACTGCAGATACACCAATACCTTATTTATGCCTTTTGCTTCCTCAGGGAGAGGCTTCACAGCTTCGTTTGGTGCACCCAGTAGTGATTCCTGTGTTGCCAAGACCTGAACTCTAGTCAGGAGAGCAGAGAGGTTATTCCATGAGGCATCCTTTTGCAGCACCACAGAAACAAGGATGCATATTCTTCATAGAATTGTGGTGACTATACCCCAAAGATACCCATGTTTGCATGCTGAAAGCTAATTTACTGCAGTTCTTTTGTTTATCCCAGATATGGTTTTGACAAGAACTCACAGGAAATTCAATAAATTAAAATGCTTTTACAAGACAGTGACAAATTTAAGTTGACACATACCAAGTTCTTTAATTATAAAGGTGCCATTCGCGCTGTTATATTTAAAAGTATGTTGAGTCTTTTTGTAGATAAATCTCTGATTACTGGGTATTTTTAACTCCTCAGAGAACACCCCCTGGCCTAATCTTGGCACAGAGACAGCATTCCCAAAGTCAAATGTCCCCAAAAGAGAAATCCAACAAATGTTTTGTAAATGAAAATGTGCCATAGTCACATTTCTCAGTCCTCTTTAAGGCGTTGCTGCCTGCTCTGAAGTATTATCTGATATAATCAGAATTTCAAGCCTTTAGGGTCAAAGCATAGATTTATCGATAGCATCAGCGAATATTGTGAAATTGTACTTCATTGTTGATAACAAGAACATATTTTTAGACAATCTTGCAACCTAACATCTCCTTTGAGTACTTACCTTTTGCAGATGATAAGTAGACACTTTAGCACAGGTTAGCCTTCAACAGCAAGCCCCCTCAGTGAGGGGCACAGATAGCACAACAGGTTAGTAGACTCCAAGGCATGGAAAAGAAAGAATTCTCAAGAGCATATGTAAGATAACAGAGACTGAAGGGGCCCCTAAGAAAATCCTCAGCAATTTTTTATAAACTCCAATTTATGTACACCCATTTGAGCAATGAAATCTAACCACTTTTCTAGAGTGATAAAATATGCAAGCACCTAAGACATTGCTTGCAAAGGCAGGCCACAAAACCTGATTTAAGAGGTGTCTTCAGATAGCTGGCTCCCTTACCAACAACAGCTGGCTCCCTCCTCAACACAAAATTAGTTTCATTCCTGAATTTCTGTTAAAAGAATGACAAATATTGCTTGATTTAATTCATCATTTCCTAGGCTGCTTTTCTGCTTGCTAGAAGCTACATTGGGAGGAAAAGGGCGTGGGATAGAATACTACTTGCCCCCTACAGGGTTATTCAAAAATATTGACAGACTGGCTTATAGTTTTGATGCATGTTTTCACATTGTTCATGTAATATTTTAGGTCCTGATACCCTGACTATGGTGGTGGGATCAGATATCAGCCGTTACCCTAACACCCCCAGACCTACCTGCCGAGGATATTTGCATAAACGAACACAGTCAGCGATACTGAAGGGCTGGAGAAAGAGGTGGTTTGTGCTGAAACATAATGGCTACCTACACTATTACAAACACAAAAAGGTAAGGAGAGAACCTGGTGAGGAAGCAAGCTGTGTCCCGAACTACAAAGTACAGCAGTATTGTACTTAAATGCACAGACCATGGAGTTTCCAGGGATTCTCTTAGCTAACCTAGGAAGAACATCAGCAGAAATATCAGCTGGTTAGAAACAGGTAGAAATGGGTTTGCCTCCAACACACAATCTGAACACATACCAGTGAAATACAACCATGTCCACCCTTAATCAGAAACTACATGGGAACCTGAGCATGGCACCAAGTTCTTGACCTGTAAATAGTTTTTATCTATGCTAACAATGTCGCACATCTTCTGGTCAACTCAGCATATGAAGGATGTAGACGTACACGTACGCATATATGGACACATGTACATATACATATGTAGACATACGAGCACAAATTTCTAATAAACATGAATATAATCTAGACAACAAGATGGTATTAAGGAAATTCAGCAGAAGACAGTAGGGAAGCTAATACTACAGGCTTCACTCCTGATCATGAATCTATCTTTATATTGGTTTTTTTTTACTATGTCATCTCTCTCTATTTCACACTTCAAACTCCCACAGTGCATTCTGGTTCTTCCTCCTGGTGATCCTCAGCATAGTTTTTCATGGACAATACTGTTAAGATGAAGAAAAGAATTCACACTAGGCACGGCAGTTCTATATCCAAACTGAGATTAATCAAGCTTTCAACATTTAATCTTCTTGATCAAAACCAAACACTTTTGTGGGAAAAAGATATTTTGTGAAAAGTAATTAAAATTTATAGAAAGAGCTTGCTCTTCTACAATTCTCTATCTACCTGACATTTCCAGCAGAAAATCTGGTAGGCTTATTTCTCTGCATATGTCATGATATACACACTAGCCACCTAATCAGGGATATGCGGCAGAACCACTGACTATACAACAAAGCAGTCTGGCTTTCCATCCTCGTTATTACAACGCTACCTATTCTGGTCTCAAAACAAAAACAAATAGCAAATAAAACACACTCTAAAAAGAATACAAACATATAGGAACATTTGTTTGGAGAGAAGATTTTATTTTATTTATTTTATTTTATTTTATTTTATCAGGTCCTTCATCAAACTCCTGAAATGTAAAAAAACATCTAGTTATGCCATTTAAATACTCGCCACTTTCCAGTCAATTAAGTACCTCTGAAGGCAGAGTGTTAGATAAATTGGACTGAGGATTAGAAGGTGCCCCATAATCCTACATTCATTAATATTTAATTAAATTTTCTTTTATTTCTTTCAACTAGCAGATTTCTTTTTAAGCCTACCTTTTCTTCCCCAGCTAGCTTTGTCTTATTTACTGCACTGCAAAAAATAACTATTTCAATCATACCAACCTTATGTTGTGATAGTAGCCTGTTTCTTTATCCTGAAAATACGCATTTGCTTTTGCTTAAAAAGAGTAAATAAATTTAAAGCACTGCGTTAATATGTTGTAGTAATAATTACTGCTTGTTTTCTTGCATTGTCCAAGACTAGTGCCATTCAACCACTTTGTAATTATTTCATACCATTTTTTTGCCAGCTGCTCTCTCTCTGTCTCTGGACTCCAAAGAATACATTGAAATATTGCAGTACCACTTTAGCAACTGAAAGCACGAGGACATTCTTCACTGCCTCTTGTGCTTACAGAGTACTCTAAAGACTCATTTAGTAAGACAGAAAGAAAGATACTTAAATACAAATATGCTTCTTCACTACTGAGAGATCCAATGCCCAAATGAAGTAAGAGGGAGCTCAATTGGACTCATTGTCACTTCTTTCTTTTGGTATGATTTCTACCAGGGCGTAAGAGGAACAACACATACAGATGCTGCTCATCCCAGTTCCTTTTCTAAGGGAATTACAAATAATGTTCTTAGTTTAACACAGCATTTATGTAACGTCAGATGCATGATTAAGTTGGAAACATTATGTTCCAGGCCTTGCCTCACTCAGGAAGAAAAATTTTTCCACTTAGCAGATATAAAATGTTCTTTGATACCATTCATTGACAGCAAGAATAATTCATGGAGACAAAAATAGTTTAGGATAATCTGCATGTCAGTATCCAACAAACTGATCAGAGTCATCAATTTTCAGGGCTTAATTCTGATGTTGAGAACAAGACCTTACATTGGTGTAGTTTCAGTGGCTCCAACAAGGTCATGCCTGATTTCCACCTACGTAAGAAGACAATCAGGCCTTTTATTTACATCTGAAGGGATGCATATAATGTTTTGTTGAGGAGAAAAGAAAGGGTGTTTCATCTTCTGCTTTAGTCCATATCAACAAACAAATCATTGCTATTTACAGGCAGAAATTATCCATGCTGAGCTTTCCTTTTCCCACCAATATTAAAAAAGGGAATGATGTTTCTAGAGCTTTTTACGTATTGACTCACCCATGCGATTGCTGCTGTTTCAGACTCATCTCTATCCAATCACATATTGGTGAAGTGATTGCTGTTGCAACAGCTTTGGTCACTTGACATACAAGGTCTTTTTGTTTTCCCTCAAACAGGTGCTGCCACTGACCTTGACTCTAAAATCCACATAAGTAACTAAAACACATTTGTCACTTCAGTGGACACAACTGTGTCCGCCACCTCATAGCAGAAATATTCGGCACATTGGGTTAGAACCTTGTTTTGTGTAAATTACTGAGATCAGTGGAGTTACAATGACTCATAATGTTTTTGCTTACATTTAGCAGCAGTGGAGTTCCACTAGATACTCTACAGTTCTGATCCCCCATTGTCCAGAACACTGGATCTTCTCAAACATTTCTTTGTCCATGTGCCTGTTTTTTTTTCTCCTAAAGGAAAGACATCTGGACATTGTGAGGAGATAGACAGTGATGTACATTTAAATTCTACCCTGAGATAAGTACAAGCAATCAAGTTTCTTCTGCTTCAAATAACATTATTTTAGGGAAAGCTGAAAGCACATCAGCATAGTCAAACATTGATCCTTTACAGAAAGCAGTATCTGCTCCTCTAAAACTATCATTTGTTGCGCAGCACAGTAAAGTGACTGCAAAATCACCACAAAATATCTATGGTGAAGGCTTCAGTGTAGGACAGAGAAACCTTAATCACCTTTACGTGTGACAGGTAAGATAACAAAAGCAATCTAGCCACACCAGTAAAGCATCACCTCAACAGGTTAAATAAGTTCACGCAGAGCTGCCATCACCAAGTAGCTTCTAGAACCTGACAGTCAACTTGGAAACTTTACAATATGCTGCAGCCTTCAGGTTGAAAAAATACCAGTCTTGCAAACCCATTGAAAAGGAGAAATATAATCCCTGGGACCCAGGAACAAATGGGCCAATAAGGGGTTTAAAAGCTGTGGAGCTTGCATTCCTCTATCATGAGAACATATCTGCTGGAGAGCTAACAGTGCTCTAGGCATTATAGCCCAAAACATTTCCCAAAATTCCTCATTACAAATATTCATCATGTAAGGAGCTCAGCAAATTAAATGCTGGGATTTATAGATCCACTAAAAATGCCAGCCAAAGCCAGAATTTCCTAGTTTCAACTCATTGGTTCTTTCTTGCTATGTAATGGTTAATAAAATACACATAATAAGTGATATTTGTGGATGAAAGAAGAGGAAAAAAAAAGGTAGAGTTGATAAAATTAAAAGATTTAACAAAAGATCATGTTTGTAACAAAGTCCTAACTCCTTTCTGTTTTGTGTCTTGCTGTGTTCCTTGGAATTATTTCCTGTCCCTTTGCCATAAATAGACCCTGGGAAAGAGGATAGTGAGACAGATAACCAATCTAACACCTGAAAAGGAAAATATGAAGTAAATATCATTGAGGTAATGGTCTAGGAGAAGGTATAAAGATGACTGGCTCCAAACAGGAAAGTGTTATCAATGTATCTGCCCTGCAGATTTCCTTTCCAGAAAGCAGAGACTGATGTATTCTAGTCAGATCAGCTCTGTCTCTCAGGTCCGTATGTTACATTTGTCATTTATTCCACTTCTCTCTCCAATTCCCTCAGCTAAGAATGATGTGGAACAACAGTAATTAGGAATAAATGTCTAAAGAGTATGAGTTTGCTGCCAGCATTTTGTATAGACTCAAAGTATGAAAGTCAAAAGAAGAAACTGTAATAGGAAGGAAGTAGGAGCAGTTAAGTTGGAAATCACTGTCCTGACAGTAGCAAAGAGCGTCCTTTAGAGATTCAGTTGTAGCAAGAGACTGAACTGTGAATAAAGAGCAAGTTCACCTTCAAGTGTAGCCCCAGAGAAATAGCATTCCTGATACTTCATGGTAGTAATGCTCTGAAACATGCTGTAAGAAAACTGCAACACGTACTCTTAAGAAGTACTCTCACTGAACTCAGTGACAGCAGTGAAGGGGAGGAATGTGCTTTTTGTCAGTCTCCATTGTGATTATATATGATAATGTCAGTTTAAAAAAGAATTATGATTTGCATTTCTTAGGCTCACAAGTTTAATGCCTCTAGGAAGCCCTCAGGCACAGTGTGAGTGACTAAGGCAAAGTTTCTCAAACCTGAGGCGAGGGCAGTGGGAACAAAGACGTGCCTTTCTTAACATCCAAAAGCAATTAGACCCCAGCTATTACATCACTTAAATGATCAGATGCTAGGTCATATTCCTGTTTCCATTATGAAGCCAGTCCATTTCAACAGCTCAACAGGATCTTGTCTTCTCTGTTTATTGCACTTTAACGCAGCCAGCATACTGGCAATTAAGTATTGCTCAGATAATTATACAGTGCCATTTACATTCAAAGGGGCCCATAACCTTCACTTTTTCTCAACAGCAGAAGGCTTTCCTCATTGAATATTCTTTAATTAGTGATTTCTCTGTGAAGGAAATTGCTGTGCCTTAGTTGTGTCTATTAGGGTATGTTTGTGTTTGTAAATCATTCCGTTCTCACCCTCTGCCGTATTCAGAACACCTGGAAACTGTATTATAATTTGCATTTTCTTTTTATTCCAAATAAGATTCAAC